TCATATCCCATCACATATATCTTGAGAGCATACTTTTCTCTAAAATAAAGGCATTATAAGTAGAAAAATAAGAACTTTCTCTATTCATTAATACTTATATAAATATTTTAAGCTTTTACTCGGTTTTTTTAAACCAAGAGATTCATCCATTACAAGCTATCAAAACAAAAATATTGTATTTCACCTGTAACAATGCTAAATTCATTTCACATATACAATATCTGGAGGTCTGGGAATTTTCAATTCAAAGTAAGCACAAATCCAAAACAGAACGAACACTAGACATGTCTTTCCTATACATATTCCTATAACATACACTATTTCCAAATATTAGCACTCCCAAATCTCCTTACGTTGGAGGTTAAACTTCTTGATGCAGCACAGCAGAAGCAAGATGATCTTTGTGAAAAGGATGCAACCATGCCTGTGAAAGTGTTTGTGTATAGCCACACAAACAAAATATGGGCTCCTTGTAACAGTAAAGATGGAGAGAATTCACTTTGAGGAAGTGGCAATATCAATGACTAAATGGAAATAATAATTTGTAGCAGCAGATTTAGAAAAAGAATCTTAAGTCTTCTTAGACTACCAAGACATGGAAGAAAAATTGAACTTCACCATAAGAAACCTCAAATGAAGCTATTATATCCTTCAAACTAACTAATAAGAGTCCCAATTGTTATCCAACTAAAGGAGGGAAGTAACAAAAGAAACAAGTAACAAAATTTAAGTTGATGTCAAAAGCTGTATTTTCAAGGTCAAATGAAGTGGTGACACCAGAAAGTCCAGATGTAAAGATCAGATGAGAAGCTGAAAGCATTTGAACCTATCTGTAAAAGGACTGCCTGTGGGACATCATAATAAAGCAGATGCCATCCACATATCTGAGGGGATGTCAAGGGTAAGGTCTTCATTGTATCATTAGAGAACTTCAAACTGTATTGCCAAGTAAATATTTCTGAGAATAACCTGAAACATGAACACCTCTGAATCCTTGTTTAGCAACTCTGAAGTATATATCCCTTAATTAACAACATATACTGAACATATTTGAAATGTTAGTCCAGACACTCCAAGAACTTAGATAATGGGATTGTCCAAACATATGCTTCTAACAACTTCATATAAATTTGTTTGCTAGTGGGTTTGCTACAGAGGAGTTACAGGGAAAAAAAAAAAAAAAAAAAAAAAAAAAAAATTTCCCTAAAAAAAAAAGTTTCCCTCTACTATTTTGGCATTGACACTAGTAAGAGTTCATGATGATACCAGCATAAAACTTTGCAACGCCTCTCCATTCACAAGTATTTCCCTGCACCAGTTCCAAGTCCATTTTGTGTACAGATTTATGACAAAGAACAAACAAGGCTACTTGCAACTTTAAAAGTTTTGAGCAGGGATAGAATTTCAATCTCTTAACTTCACAGCTTTCATGTACCTATTTCACATTTGAAAATTCCAGAAGAGTACTACGAGGGTCTGCATATTACAAACACTACCCTTTAAGTACAGGCTACTACTCACTCACTGAAGTGCAGCCCAGACAAAATCTGGGCAAATGGCAGACTTCTAATAGCAGCATTTTTTGTGTATGCTCCAGTTGTAACTCACACAACTGGACAGTAAAGAATGGTCATTTGACAAACAAAAAGAAAACCTACATGAAGTTAGCCAAATAGTTAGTAGAGGTGGCTGCAGATACTTGCTCACAAGCCAGTGTCACATTTACAGAGCTGCTCCTTCAGCACTCCCTGTAGTCCATAATGTTCAGTCTGACAACCAATTTTTTGTCTGTGCAACACCAAAATTATCACCAATAGCAAATAAACTACCACTGAACATTCAGAAAGCAGTGAACTCTCCAGTGCTAAAACCACGGGTGTCTGACACACTGATGATTTTTCAACACTTCCAACTTCAGGAATGGTAGAGAAATCAGAAACTCCAGGTTTTCTTTTCTATAGAAGTTATTCTACTTCAAAACTGAGTGCACGTGGCAGTATAGAATATATCAATGCCAACTGGCCTCTCCACCAGTTTGCCTTTGCAAGAGGAATAATAGTTAACATTTATCACATGAAACTCCTCTGTATGTCTTGCCACTTGTCTGCTGTCATCCATGTTGTATCTTGTATTCAAGTGAGCAACTGCAGAATTCTTAATTCACTTTAAGCTTGAAGTCTTTTCTTTCACAGCTCCTTAATTAGTTGTTAGGATCTTCACAGAAAGAGAACCAACAAATAAACTCATCTGTATCTTGGAAGTTGAAGGCACATTTTATTCCAGTAAAGTGAACAAATGTTTCTTCTTGGAAACATTTTGATGAAGACACAGTGTCTCCAGATTATACCTGAAGCTCAACCTCTTCAGCTACCTGTTTATCAGCTAATTTCAGTACTCATACAACACACAAGGCTGGTTTGGTGAAGCACTTTTCAAATCACATCCTCTCTTTTGTTCAAGACAGACTCCATTCTACCAGTCTTTCTTCAGGCTTCTTTTTGTGCAACTCAAGCACTCAGCAGAGGCGCATAAGCAGCCTGTCTGCTTACCTCTCAGAACATAGTTTGCAATTCTGTTGTGCTCCTTACTTAGGACACTCCAGTGCAAACAATTTCCTTGATGCTTATTTCTTCAGCTTAGTCACAGTAATTTCATCATTTACATCAGAAGTAATTTGTTATCCAGCTTTCCAAGATTATACTCTTCCCTTCATTTCTTCATGTCATTCCTCATAACCATTTTGCAGAACATGTTACCAGAAGAGATGACAGTTTTGCACCACTTTGGTCCTTCCTACCCTATCCTTGTGAGAATTTAAGAACTCCTCCAGCTGTAACAAATTTCCTCTAAATAATCAGTTTTGGAGAATAACAGGTGGCTATTTTCCCAATCCTAACTTCAAATTCACAGGTTTTTCTGTACCAGTTGGAAAACAGAAAGTAGACAATGCACTTAACCAAGTTTGGCTGTAGCTAGCTAATATACAGTCCCTGTCATTTTAACCAGGGCAAACACATGACAAATTAAGATATAAAAAATGCCTCAAGGTGAGTTTCTTCTTCCAACTGGACAATGAACTCTAGTATAGAAGCATGAAAGTAGCTTGGGAGAAAAGTCAACAGGGTAAAAATAATTGTCACCAAAAATACAGTATGTCTGCAAATCTGTAGAATGAGGAGGAGTATGTACTGTGAAATCATTCATACAGAACCAACTCACAATCAAAAGGAGGGACAGAGCTACAAGCTTACTGTTGCTCTGATCCATTATAAAGCTGATGTTTGAATAGCACTAACCTTTTAATTCTTATGATGCATCTCATTTCTCATTCATCTATAGATCCCTGTTTCTGCTGTATTTATACAGAACATTTGGGAATGGACCTATGCTGCTCAAGACCTCTCATCTCAGAAGACAATGATGTTATTTCCTCTTACACTACCTTGCAAACTCCTGAGCTTGTATCTATGCCCTCTTTCCTATTTCCAAATATCTCATCTTGAAATATCTCATCATACTCCAGAGTCTGTGTTTTTCTGTTCCTCCCATGCAGAATTTCTCATTTCTACTCGCAGATGGATAAGCAATAACACGTCCTGAATCAATCAAGCTTACATATATAGGCTTTGGGCCCTACAGATTTTCCCACTCTGTACCTTTTGATTAAGCAGTCTGACTACAACATACTTTACATGCTAAAATTAAAGACTGAATGAATATACTAACACAGACATTCATATAGATGAAGAGGCTCAGCATATCCTACTTGGGAGTTTCTCAGATATTCTGAAGCAAATCTCTAGCTGTTCCAAATATTTCTTTCTCTGAAGAGGGGTGTCTCCTTTACAAATTGATGCAAACACTTAATATAATTAAGTGGTAATCTTTAGTCAGAACTCTGGCAGGATGGCCAAGTTTTCCTAAGTCCACTTAAGAGACAAAAGAATGTAAACCTGGAGCTACTACTTTTCACTTGAGCACCCGCTACACATTCCAACAAGTACAACCTCAACTAACACCTATGGATTAGCCCAATTTCCATCACACTTCCTCTTTCCTGTATAAGTTTTTCTAGGACCTTGACCAGCTTCCACGACAGGATGTTTGTTTGCACCCTCTTCTAAGACGAAACCGCCTTTAACAAAACCAAGTGATCCATTAGACCTAGCCTAAGAGGGCTAGGGGGAAAAAAAATTAAAAACATTAGGAAAATAGTTTCAAACGGAAGTTTATTCCACACCACCTACAGTGCCATGTACTTTTCAAACACATTGAACACAGGCTATTGTGTCAGTACATGAGCTTAACACAACTTCCTCGCGGCATTCTTCCTTCGGCGCGGTAATTAGCAAGTAAGTGGTGCATGAATGCATCAGCAGAGCCATCCAGGCTGCCCATGGCCCCGACAAGTGTTATTATTATTGCTCGGCCGCCCCGGTCCCCGCCCAGGCGCGGGGTCGCTCCCGGCCGAACGCCGCGCACGGCGGATGACACCTGCAGTACTCCCCTACGGCCGCGCTCCACACTCCAAACACCACTCAGAAAAAGTCAGTCCTCTCGCTACGTTTTTATGCCTTGCTATCAGCCCGTATTCAGGTTTTCCGCCGGTCAGGGGCCAAAAGCCCCCCCGCTCCCCCGATAACGGCTGCCCGGGCCCGCACCTACGGCCCGGAGCGGGAGGCCGGCTCTCACCGCCCCTCTCCATCCGCACACAGAAGTCCTGGGAAAGCACAGTAGTTCTGCCTTCCCTCCGACGTGGGAAATTTAAAAAATAACGATTAAAACGAACCAAGCCGAAGCACAAACCCGCCGCCAGCCTTGGCGCCGGCGAGCAGCTCCCGTCCCGACAGCTCCGTGCCCCGGCAGCTCCGCACCCCGCCCACGGCACCCGGTCCCGACAGCTCCCCGTCCCCCCAAACGCGGCCCACAGGCCTCCGGGTTGGAGGGGGCAGCAGCCCCAGGCAGGGGCAAGGAGGGTACGGGCAAGAAGGGACACTTACTGGGCGTGCAGTGCAGCGGTGAGCCTTGCGAAGAGACGGGCGAGAAGGGAGGTGCCGCCGGCAGCGGCTCCTTGAGGGCGGCGGCGGCCGCGGGGGTCAGGACGGGGGGCAGCATGAGGTACCGGTCCGGCTGCGGCAGGCAGCGCTGGCACACCGAGTGCAGGCAGGGCAGCAGCTTGGGCCGCCGGCTCTGGATAGGCTGCCCGCACACGCCGCAAGTGTCCAACAGGTTGAGCGGGGCCGCGTCCCCGTCGCGCTCCGCCGGGCCCTGCCGGCTCTCGGCCTCGTTCTCCCCGCTCAGCGCCGCCGCCGCTGCCCCCGGTCGGTCCGCCGGGCACGGCCCCCCCGCCGCAGCCGCTGCTGCAGCTGCTAACGCCGCTGCCGCCTCTTCCATTGTCCTGCGCCGGCCGCCGCCGGAGAGCCGAAGGAAGGAGGGGCAGCCTCGCCGCTTCCCGTCCGCGCCGCCGCCGCCGCCGCCTACCGGCCCCCGCCCCGCGGGTGTTCGTGCGCCCGCCCAACAGCAGCGGCCCCGCTGCGCCGACAACGGCCGCCCGCGGCCCGCCCCGCCCCCGCTACGTGCGGCGAGCGCTGCTCCGCGGGAACCGGCCCGGCCGCCGCGAAGCCCCGCCCCGCCCCGGGAGCTCCGCCCCGTCCCGCGGGCCCCGCCCTCTCCCCGGCGCCAGTGACTGCTCTCTCTCAGCTGGGTGGCTGCCTGGGTCTGTCCGGGTGAGAGGAAGGACGGAAGTTCCTCTTGAATATGAGGGAAAACTTCTTTACTGTGTGGGTGGCCATGCTCTGAAACTGGTTGCCCAGAGAGGGTGTTGAATCTCCCTCACTCGAGGTGCTCAAGAACCGTCTGGACGCAGTCCTGTGCCATGTGCTCTAGAATGCTTGAGAAGGGTGGTTGGGCCAGATGGCCCACTGTGGTCCCTTCCAACCTGACCCATGAAAGGTGTTTGTACCTTGGACAGGTTATTAAAAGAGGTCACCCTTCTCCCTGCCCTATGTGAGGGTGAGAGTCTGTAAGTTTTGTTGGCTTGGTGGATCACAGCAGTACCATCACATGCAGCCACATAACCTGACTGAAGCTAATTGGTGATTGGTATAATTAAAAAGATACAACGGAAAAGTACAATTCTTGTTTAGACACAACATTTTATTGAATCAAAGGCCTTAAGTATTGAGCTGGTGAGACATTGGAGCAGGCTGCCCAGAGAATTGTGGATGCCCCAGCCCTGGAAGTCTTCAAGGCAATGTTGGATGGATACTGAAATCAGACAACAAAACTTTCTAACGCAATTTTGAGTATCAGACAGCAGGCATTCTTTATTACAATGCTAGACACATCAGAAGGATAGCTCTGTTAATCTGATGTGTGTCCAGAACGTACAACAAGGTATTTACTTCATCATGATCGTACATATTTGTTACAGTGTACTTCTGGCTTATTCATAAACACCACTTTTCATAGAACTAATTTGCATGCAGCTGCCTCCTACTTGCAGTCTATTAATGTCCCTAGAGGGTTGTCTGAAAGGGTCTTTGGTGGTTGTACTCACCAAGTGCCCTCAATATTACAGATGACATTTCCTTGAACTTCTCTTAGAGCATGCGTTGTTGCTTCTTTTTACATAACTTGGCCCAAAAAGCTACTAAATTCCTCATTATCTGTTTATCTACTGGTTCCAGCTCCATTTATCATCCTGTGTGCACACTTTTACATTCTTTTATCATTTTTTGATAGTTGGTCTTTAAGCTCTATCCAGCAACTTCAGGAGAAATGAAAATTTATCTTCTCTGTGTTATCTATCAGGACAGGACTTTGAGCAACCTGGTGTAGTGGAAGGTGACCTGCCCATGGTAGGGTGGGGTGGAAGCAGATAATAGTTAAGGTCTCTTCCAGCCCAAACTGTTCTGTGATTCTGTGAGCTTCTATGAAGCATGGATGCAGACACAAAGCTAGATCTAGCATATTGGTTGCTAGATCAACCATGAACCAGATCCAAGCTCCTCAGAATATTCCAGATGTCTGTGCTTAAATTCCCAGAACAGCTATCATACTTCCCACTTCCTTGCAATTTCTTCAAGACCCTAACATTGGTCCTGTAATAAGCAGGACCATAAAAAAGCCATACATGACAAAATATTAATTTCTTCAGCACAAGGAACAACTGTGTACAGGAGCATTGTCATGATTCAGCATGTCTCACATGCATAATTGATACAAGTTGTTTTGGGGAGGAGGAACCGATTTGGCTTTACAATGAGGAATTGTTAAGAGGTAAATGTCATTCTCTGATTAAGAATATCAGTGGAAGGGACAAGCCATACATTCTCAACCCCTGACCTGCCAACACATAAGGAAAAAATGCCTCCAGAAGCACTGTTCTGAAGTACACCTTCTGCCTCCCACTCCAGCTACCTCTGTCCCTTTACTAAGAGTCACCATGTGGTAGCAGAGTCCTGTAGTCCTCTTTCCTCCCCACCCCACGGGTTCGGTTATCCAACACCCAGTGATGATGTGCTAACAATCCATTGTGACAGGAGCTTGCAGGCTGAGAGCATGCCAAGTGTGAAGGATGAAATGGGTTCTGGAATTAAAGTTAAGGATGGTACAGGTTCTGCAAGGTGAAAATTACCAAAAAAGCCATTAGAAAAGGTCTGTTGAGGAACAGGCAATGACTGAAGAATGGTTGATTAGTATTGAGAGCAAACATGATCAAAAACTCAGTAAATAATACATTTGTGAGGAGTAATAGCAAGTCATAAGATCATCAGACTAGGTAGTTCCTGTAACTAGTGTGAACTATTTCTCTAACAGATGTCAACACAGGAAAATAGCAATATTGTGTAATGGTACAAAGATAACCCTGTGAAGGAACTGAGTAGAGGCTTTGTTGCAAATGATGATTCTTGTGAGGCACTGTCCCAAAGATTAGTAAAATAATAGGATTATGTTTCCTGCAAAGTTTGTTTGCTTGGGATGTTTGCAAAGCTTGCTCAAACTGTGCTGTAAAATCTGTAGTTGCATGGCATCTGAACAGTATCTGATTTAAAATGAAAGTTTGAACTTGCATAATTTGAATTTGAATGTAGAGCCTTCCTGTTAGTGATGGCATCATATTAGCAGTACTTGGGACAGAAACAAAAAGGGCATGGAGGAACAGAAAATAACACCCTGAGATAACAAACCATTCAGTACATGTAGACAAGGGAGGAAGGAAAAAAGCTTTTAAATGCAACCACATTGTTAAGGCAAAGTGTGACAATGATCAGTGAAAGAAGTGGCATCCTGTTACACTGACCTGGGTGCACAGGTTTTGGCCACAGCTACACCACACCTGGCCATCAGGGAACACTGGCAGAGCTGGCTTGGAGCTTCTGGAAAAGGTCGTATAGACAAACCCACCACAGGGCAATATGTACTGTACTCGCTTTTGTCTGAAAACAGCTGATGGTTTTGTCTAGTTTCTGATGGAAAACCACTTGTTGCACTCTCCAGCGTTTCACTGGAATGAGTCAAACCAATGAAGAAAGAATGACGATGCTGATAGCTAGATATTGAGATGACTAGCTAGGAAACATCCAGAGGCTGAGGCTGCTTCTCTCTTCCCTTGCTATGCTACTCATTACTTCTGTTTACAATTTGTTTTGCTACCTCCTCTTCTTCTTCTGGGCATCCCATTTAAAGCAAATTCCAGAAGCATTTTGCCTTCTGTTCAGATATACACTTTGTGACTGCAATCTAGATCTTTGCAATTTGTAATCTACATTCCTGTGATATACTCCACAAAAAGTTATCATTCAGAAACTTCAGCTGCAGAAAGAAACGGCTGCCAGCTGCACGGAAGAACTTCTCAATGGAGATCTCATAACTAGAAGTTCTTTGCACTTAGAATTTACTTGCTGGCTCCAATTTCCTCCTTTTGTCCCTGGTTCAGTTTATCTCTTTCTTGTATTCACTTGCAGTCACAAGTAGTCACTTGGCCTTGCAAATGCAACAGAGTCAAATCTTCCCAGATTACCGCTAAACATCAGCATGTGCATTTCTTCCTCTTAAAACAGCCATGTGACACTAAACAGTCTCTTACCAAAGTATTTTTTACGGACTAAAATAAAACCATGGGCCTTTGCAGTGTTCCAGCCCAGTTCAACCTTTATGTGATAACAGTGAAGGAAGTGGGGAGGAGACTCAGCGCTCCATCTTTGTCATTAAAAAATGCTTTTGACACAGTAGTCATCCAAGACATAGATTTGACAGCTTTCTGGACAGACTCTATTACAGCAACACAAAGCAGTCACTGGGAGGATGTGTTGCAGAATATACAGCCTTTCCTGATCTGTGTCCTTTTGAGAAATGGACATCTTAATATGTGGTTGGTTTTCAAAATCTGTAAAATATAAAATATGTTCACTGGAAGCAAGATGAATGCATTAGGAATTCATGGTTAGGCAAACGTAATATATTAACCTTTCCAACAACAGTGAAGTAGGAGAACTTTACATACTAAAATATCTGGAACAAGCAATGAATGAGCATAGTGCCTCCCAAGCTGTGAAGGCTGAATTAGGAATTGATCTAGAATATAGCTTAGATCTGTAGGCTGCCCTTTGGAATTCCACAATCAAGAACCCATCAAGCTATACTTACTTGTCCTTTCAGTAAGGAGAGAGTGAGAGAAATTACCTGGTTCAGGTAATTTTCTTAGGATTTTCAACTTTCTGTTTTCTATACTTCAGTCACCTAACATATACAGACACACACATAAAACTTTTCTTTCAGATTGGAGGATGGTTTCTTGGAAACCTTTTTTGTGTCCTATTATTTATGCTCTTTACCCAAGTAAAATATTTCTCCAGCACCTGGCAAATAACAACTGAGACTTTCACAACTGAGAAGGGATTTGCTTGACCAGTTTCAGCTGGAAACTCACCAGAGATAAGGCTGGGTCCAGCACTCTGGAGTGGGCCAGCTGCCATGTAATGTTTCCAGTTCTCCATGCAATATACCTCCACTGTAAACTATGGAACAATATCACCTCTGCACAATTTCCTATTGGTTTAATGGTCAGAGAATACACTCTGATTTTGTAAATTAAACCTGGGTTCATCCCATTAGATTCCCTTTCAGGGAAAAGGAGCTTGCCTAAGGTGAGAGGCAACATGCCAGTTCTGAACACCCAGTATTAGATAAACACTGATGGAAATGATTGTGGTATTCACAACCCCTTTTTCTTCCAAAGGTATTTTTTAGTTTTCACTTTCATTGAAAATTCCACAAACACATGGAAGCAGTCTAGATATACATGAACATATCACAATTAATGTCTCCTAACAATGCCCTATCCACTTGTTTTGTCAGACACTTACAGGTCCCATCTCTAATTCCCAATGCACCTTTGGAACCCTATGTCTCTCCTAGGGATGAGTAGGATTCTAGCCCTGCCCATGTAGATATGCTGTGGTTCAAAACTTAATGTCTTCCCCTTCCAAGTCCCTGTGCTCTCCGACTGTGCAGTGTCAATGGAAGTGGGGCACCTGAGGGTAAGGAGCACAGATCAGCCCTGATAATTTAAAAAAGCAAC